CATCTCCCCGCTGCATCCCTGGGGTCCTGCCCTGGTTCTTTCAAGCTCTGGGGGTGCACAGGCTTCCCTCCCCCCAAGATGTGTACCTTCACCTCAGGGCCTCAGTGGGTCTCTGTGTCCCTAAAGATGGGGGCAGCCTCCAGCCATGTCACTCCTCCACGCGGTCCTCACGGCAGGCGGCACTGGCCTCAGGACTGGGGTCCGGCGGGGAGAGAGGCAGGCGGGGTGTGTGGGCACTTCAGGTTCTGGGCTCCAGGCTAGACACCTGCTCATGCCGGTCTTGGGGCCCTGGCAGCTCAGGCCCCCAGCTCTCAGGGCAGCACCATGGCTGGGGGAGGGAGGGAGAGGGAGGGCCGAGAAGCTGGAGGGTCCATCCTGGTCCTCAGGCTGGGAGGACCTTCCTGGGTGTGCGACCATCTCTCTCACACGGTCCCTGTGGCGGCCGGCTCTCGTCTGGGGGATCCCAGGGCCTGGCTCCCCCGGGCTGGGGGGTGGACAGTGAGGGAGCCGTGTCCTGTGCCGTTGTCTCCGGGAGGAAGCCCCCCGCCCCTCTCGGCTTTCGGGTCCTGCCCCTTCTCTGATTTGGTCTTGAACAGCTTCCTTTAAACATGGGTGGGAATCTGGTGTTGCTTTTATTTTCTTCGGCAACGATGTGTTTTCTTTAATGGACCAGGTTTTAATTAAATACTGCTCTGCCAGCTTCCAACAATGAAGATTAAAATGCATGACGCCGGTCTTGCACGGAGAGACAGACAAACATGGGGCTTGAGGATGGGGTGGCGGTGAGAGGGCTGGAGGCCTCTGGGGTGATTGGGGGGCTCCGCATGGTGAGCATGGCTCCATGTGAGATGGGGTTTCTTAGCCTGACCTGACCTGGGGGTGGGAGGGATCCCCTTTCAGCTCTGTTGGTTCATCCAGTTCTTGGATCGATTTAAAGTCCCAGAGCAGCCCGGTCAGCGTGGCTCAGTTCAGGAGGTCACGGTTCGATTCCCGGTTCGATGCCCGGTTTCGGGCTCCATCCCCACTGAGGGGTGTGCAGGAGGCAGCTGATCAATGATTCTCTCTCATCATTGATGTTTCTCTCTCTCTTACTCTCCCTTCCTCTCTGAAACCAATTAAAAAATATTTTTTTTAAAAAAGATAAAATCCCAGAACAGCTGCCGCCTCTGGCCACCCCAGGACTATGCTGGGAGCACAGTTCTCCTGTGTGGGCCCAGGATCTGGTACGAAAGCTGCAGGGGCTGGGGCTGGGGACCTGAGGGTGGCTCCTTGGTCCCTGGGCCGGCGTTGGTGCCTGGCACCTGGGAAATAGCCAGTCACTCGGTGGTGAAGCATGAACAGCAGTCGTTCGGCCAGCTCTCCTGACCTCTGTGACAGCACACGCCTGTGTGACACCCCAACAGCTGTTGGCTCACACTGACCAGTCCACGGCACAGGCTGACCGCCGACCGCGTGCCTGCCTGGTGAAGATGCGGGTTAGGGAGAGTCTGGGCACAGAAGGCGGCCCCACGGCCCTGCCCTTCTGGAGCTTGCTGCACACCCCACCCCCTTGAACAGGATAAGGGGGTGGTCGCACACCCAGGACAGACTGCTGCGGCCGGGCCTGTGCACAGGGCTGAGCGGGTGGGTTTGGCCTTGCCCTCTGGCCGGCCTCGGTCCTGCTGAACCGTCTACACACGAACGGTTCTCAAACTTCAGCGGGTCTCAGCGTTGCTGAGAGCTCAGAAAGCTCAGTGCTCCCCCGCCCCCCGCAAGTGTCTGACTCAGTAACCCCAGGGTGGGCTCAGAAACTATGCCTCCCACATCTCCAGGCCGCGGCCGTGGTCTGGGGGCCACGCTCAGAGGGCCTTTGCTGAGGAGGCCGGAGCTCAGGCCTCGGTTTGCATCCTCGCCCCGCACGGCTGGCCATGTGGTCGCTCAGCGGCTCCTCCTGTGCCGATGGGAGACCTGGCCGAGCTCGGCCCCTGACCGTCACCATCCCCTTTCACTTCACGCAGCCAGTGGGCTGGGCGGGCCTCACGGGAGGGAGGGCGTGTTGGCCGCCCTGACCCCCTGTTGCTCCCCGCAGGCTCTTCGTCCTGGGCATCGGCTTCTTCTCGCTCTGCTTCCTGATGACGTCCCTGGGAGGCCAGTTCTCCGCGCGGCGCCCGGGGGACTCCCCGTTCACCATCCGCACAGAAGGTATCTCGCTGGGGAGAGGGTGTGGGGTCGGTGCGTGTCTGTGGGTGAGGACGGAGGCCTGCGAGCCAGCAGCGTGGAGGGCGCCCCGGGTCCCTGTTCCAGGCATCCTGCCACCTCGCGCGTGGACGTGGGGGCAGAGGGGCCTCGGCTTGGGCTGTGGGACCCTATGCCGCCTGGACCTGGTCCTGGCTGTGGTCACCCCGTTCCTCTCGCCTGGGCTCTCAGCAGGGGAGGGTCTCTGAGCCACGTGGCCCAGCCCAGGCGTCGGAGAAGCTGCCTGTGTCTCTTCGTTAGTGGGAGGGGGGGGTCTGAATGTGACTCCTGCGTCTGAGATCCACGCTCTCTGTGCCTTTGGCCCAGGCTGTGGCCACAGCAGGGGGCAGAGGGCAGGCCTGTCCGGGCTCACGTGCCCTATCTCTGAGCTCCCGGGCACAGTCGGGGTCTCATGGCTCTTTGCCCACGTGCTGCTTGCAAGGCAGTGGACGGAGGTTCAGAGCATGGGCCTTGGGGATGGGCGGACCTGGCTCGGGCCTGGCTCGTACCCGGCTCACCATCGGCCAGCTGTGTGCCGTCGGCCAGCTGTGTGCCGTTGGCCAGCTGTGTGCCGCTGGCCGAGGGACTTACGTTCAGAGAGGAGAGCAATGGCCGTTCGGGTGGGTGGGAGGGGCTCACACGTGGTGTGCTGGGTGGTGACCCGGCAGCCTCCTCCCAGGTAGGGGCTGCTCCTTCCTCCCGCCCAGGGCGGGTGCAGACAGTGCCGCTGGCTCAGTGCGCCAGGGCGGCCTCAGCTCAGCCGTGGGAAAGGGGAACAGAGCCGGGGGGGAAACTGAGGCAAGCGGGCTTTCCCTGCCCCTCTCGGACGCCTCTCTTTGAAGTGCATCCTCTCAACACCCCCCCATCCCCCGGCTCAGCTGACTGGCTCCCCTGTCCTGTCATCGAGGGGGTGCTCTGGGGGGCACGTCTGTACCCCTGTTACACTCATCCCCTCGCCTTCACATCCACCTCTTTAAACCTGCGGAGGCTCAAGGCCCGGCAGGAACGTCACGGGTATCAGCCATCCAAGGCGTGGGTAGTGAGTTTATCCCACCTCCGAGCCCTCCCGGGCCTTCCTCCCCTCCCCCATAGGCGGAGTGACACGCCCGCTTCCCGGGACCGAGCGAGGAGCCTTCAGAGGACACGGAAAGGGCCCAGCGCCGCTGCACCAGCACCAGCTCCGTGAACATTGGGGCGGTGCTGAGTGTGAGGTGGGACAGTGCAGACCAGGGACCGAGGGGGTGCAGGGGTTTCTATGTAGGAGATGCCAGGATCGAGGCCAGAAGGGCTCCTCGCCTTCACATCCACCTCTTTAAACCTGCGGAGGCCCAAGGCCCGGCAGGAACGTCACGGGTATTAGCCATCTAAGGCGTGGGTAGTGAGTTTATCCCACCTCCAAGCCCCCCTGGGCCTTCCTCCCCTCCCCCATAGGCGGGGTGACACGTCCGCTTCCTGGGACCGAGCGAGGAGCCTTCAGAGGACACGGGAAGGGCCCAGCGTGGCCGCTGCACCAGCACCAGCTCCGTGAACATTGGGGCGGTGCTGAGTGTGAGGTGGGACAGTGCAGATGAGGGACCGAGGGGGTGCGGGGGTTTCTATGTAGGAGATGCCAGGATCCAGGCGGAAGGGCGCTGGGCCAGTTGTGAGGGTGCCCTGGGGGGAGCGTGGGGGGACACTGGAGGTCACCTGGTCCCCCCAGAAGGGCCCTCATGCCTCCTCCCGCTCACTCCCCGCCCCAGGACCCCGACTCTAATACGCAGAGCCCCTCGCGCTGTTGACACGTTCTCCAGTCCGGGTAGAATGTGACAGACACCTCATCCCACCTTCCGCACACCTGCACACCCGTCAGGACGCAGGGAGGAGGAGTCTAACCTAATTCCCGCCGCAGCCGGGCCTGGCTGGGGCCCAGGGCGTGTGCTCCCTGCCCAGCCAGCCCTCCTCCCGGCCTCCTGCCTCCTGCCTCCTGCCTCCTGCCTCCTGCCTCCTCTCTTCAGGAATTCGCTTCCTCCTGACACGGGATGTGATGCTGTGTCTGAGGCCCTTGTCTTACCTGCTGGGGACGGCGGGGGGCTCCTTCAGTTTCCAGGGGGCACTGGGGAAGGGTGGGGGACGGGAAGGGAGGGCGAGGGAGGACGGGAGAGACAGGAACAGAGCTCGTGTCTGGAGAGGAGAGGGCCGTGTGGGCAGTGAACCCCGTGTGTAAGTAAGTGCGAGGGGCTGTGTGTACTTCGCGTCCCAGCTGCTCATTTACATGGAAATGTGGGGGGACATGTGTGGGCTCTGCGATGTGTCGCTGGGGCCTCACATTAAACGTTTCCATTTAACTGACGCCAAGCGCAGCGAGGCGACTCCAGGCCCGCAGCAGGGCTCGCTCTGCTAGTCCCCTGGTGGTGGCGTCCAGGG